AAGAACCTTTCTTGAAGTGGGAGTGGACAGCCTCACTCTGACCTGCCCTACCTGTACAGACCCAGATCGCTTGTTCCGCCTGACTCTAGCTTAGAGTGAGTAGTGCCGCGCTCCTGTAGGCCGTAGACAGCCTCAACATCCGAGAACGAAATGTCGATACCCACCAACGACGGACCTGATAATAGTGGAACTTGCTGAGTGATAGTCGGGAAGACTTAGGAGTAATTTCGGGGAAGCTGCCCACCATATGGTTTGTAATCGGTCCTCCCCCCGTATTCCTCCGCCCAGCTGCCGTCATGCGTTCCGGGAGAGCAAGCTGGATCGATGTACTTCACGTCCTCACTAGCCGGTAAGTTGTAGGGACTCAACAGAACAGACATCCAAGAAACTCTCCACAGGGGCAGGCTTACCATTTGTCGTTGTATGCGGTCCGGGTGCCCTCTATCACCAAGTGCTTTTTGCTATTGACTGTCTGTACAACGTGACCGTCGACAGCAATTGTCAATACCTCGAATGAGCAGGTTTGACTGTGAGGGAAGCTGATCAACTCACCACGTCCTCGTGCATCAATACCACAGTGAGCGACTTTCCGACTTTGAAGGTGGACGACTTCTCCTGCGCGCCAAGTCACTCAAACTCAGGTGGCTATATGGAGTGCCCGAATGCCCACCTTCGGGTTGTAAGTGTATTTGATGTCTCCGGCGAGCGCCATGCTGTCGTCTTGAATAACATCCCCGGAAGGAATAACATACCTACTTGGGAAACTGAGCAGATCGCTGGCCGGAGTGAATCAGTCGAGTCGACGTCTTTCGGCGCATCCGTGCCTGTTTCTAACGCAGCCAATGTAAGCGTGGTTTTCATCCATTGTGAACCGGACAGTCCCGTCCACATAGAAGCGTAACTGCCAGAGGATTACTGAGGACTGTGACTGCAGGTATGTCAGTCAACCTGCAGTTGGAATGCATCGGGTCCTTGGTCACCGAGCGCGCTGATTTTAACGGTAGCATTGAACGTGCCCTTTGAGCTGCGGCTTAGAGGACCCGGAGGGATCTTAAGTGAGACTGATGAGAAAAGGCTGCAAAATATTGCCATACATAGTAAGTAGTCCTCAATTCTTCGGATAGGCTTATCCAGTCCCGATAGCGCCGGCAGAAACTTGTCTGACTGCAGGTCCTCCTCGACGCTCCCTGAGCCACTACCGTGCCGATGATGGAATGAACGAAGAAAAAGAGGAGTGCGTTCATAGGACAAACCAACTGCATCGGTTTCCTGAATTAGTGATAGTATGACGTGTGATCACGTAATACGTGATCTGTGATGTTCCGAATCACTGATGCTGAATAACTACTCGAATTCTCAAGCTATAATTTTGTTATTTGAGTACTTTACGTGATTCTTGAATATTTACTCTGACGGCTGAGTAATTTCCTTGATTCAGATCACGCACTGAGGCAAATCACTGCGTCATCAGACCCGTAGTCAGACTCATGAACCGCCGTGGCGGAGGTGATGCTGTTGCATAAGCTTGAGTCAGAAAAACCTCGCCCTTTATACTATCCAAACACATCCATTGTACTTGAGATTAGCAATCTGATAGTATTGATGTCTCACAACATCGATACATTTTCGACGATTTCTCTGGCTCTGATGGCAGTCTCTCATCCTTTAAGTATAACGCTTCCATAGTATAGCAGTAGTATCATCAAATTCTTTTCGAGAAACATGCAATATTCTACATATCGCTACTAAAACAAATAACGCGCGAATTGAAGTCTCGCCCAGGATCGAACTCACGATCTGGCTGATTGTCGCTCGTTCCTGTAGCGACCATCTCCGAGCTCTGACTCGTTGTCCAAGCAGATGCTGAGCTGGATCACATTTGCGTAAAATGAGGACCAAATATCGTGATGTTGCATGTCGGTTGATGCAGATGTAGAACCGACCAAAATCATGTGTCAGATGCATGATTTTGGATATGGAATCAGACTCGTTTGCGCTCTCAGTAAGGAATCGACAGAATATCAAAGTCTGAGTATCGCAATGGCTAAAGTAAATTCTCTTCTGTCGAGCACATGAAACCGTCATCAGGCGACTCAAATCCAATATCGAGTACTATACTCAGCGAGCTATCCTTGCACCATCCCGTTACCACCACCACCACCTTAGACCTGACGCATTTACCTGAGCTCATCTACTGATGCCGTGTTGCCGACTTTTACCTTCTCGCTGTTGGTCACGGAACATGAAAATCGACCTAGTGAACCCAGTAAACCTGAGTGGAGTATCGATTTCGACTGGACTCGAGACAACTGGCAAGTGACGAAAAACGTGAGCGTAAGTGGTATTGAAAACGTGGCGACTTAGTGAAAACGGAAGTCGGGCACTGCCCAACGGGTTGTAGTAGCAGAAAGAGATCAATTTGGTGACATCCACCGTGTAGATGGTTAATCTCACAGATGAATGGTAAGCGAGTAATCGAGCAAAGAGGCGCAATGCTACAACTATTGCACATGCCACGATAAAGAAAGTTATTATCATACTACACATGATACGATACGACGGCGCCATCGGCTCAACCATCATCACTTTTTCAGAAGAGCGATTGCTTCCTGTGTACAGACTAGTCGAAAGCTCGAGTATATGAGAGCCTTCTCGTAATCCACCAAGTAGAAGTCGCTTATCCTACCAACCGTGAAGGCAAGCGAGGGAATGGTTCTCCGCAAAATCCACTTACTGTAAATGTCAACATACACAGAAACGAAGCGCAATGCATCTCCGCCCGGTAAAGGAGTTGAGCAATACTGACAAGATACGTTACTCATGCCGAAATAGGCTCCTAGAGTCTGAGCTGCTTTGGGACCCAACAGAGGTACTGGTACACCCAAATTAGCCGGACAAGTGATGAACTTCATACGCTCCATGAGCATTTGGGCAGGAGTAAATTCCTCAAAAAGGCTCTCATAAGTGTCGTCATCGAAGACCTCCGAAAGCGTGACCACAATATGATCACCCAAACCCAACTTGAAGACAATGT